TGTGTGTGTGTGTACACCTAGTGAAACACCAAACCAATGTGCCAAGATCTGGACAATAATGCTTATATTATCTTATCTTATAGGGTACCCCCCAAAATACAAGGCAGCAAAGTTCATAGAAGGACAAATACAAAGATTCCGTTTTCTAAGTTTAACAAACTTAACTTCTCTGGGATAACAGTGACGTCCTATAAGAGCCAGTTTCGCGTATCAAGGTTTTAGCCAAAGTTTCAGGAGGAACAAAGAACTGATTAATGTAGGTATGTATGAATGATCAACACACTGGAAACGATCAAGCCCTAAAAATGATACGCAATTTAGGAATAAATTCTTGGCTTCACTGTCGGTTCTGTAGTAATTCTTGTTGCGTCATCCAAGTTGTAACAATATTGAAATCCATTCCAAACATCTCAAGATGAGCTAATTTGGAAGCAAACAGCGATGATAAGTGAAACAGTTATTTGCTTTTTATAGCGATTTTAAGGCGGGGAACTCAATGGAACGTATACAGAAATGAAGCCCGTGATACGCGCTTTCGATTGATGAAAAATGTTTGTGCCAAAATCATGATACGCGGATCTGGGAATTATACAACAACTTGATTCTAGAATTCCCAAGGCAGATAATTATGTTCTGAGCTGTGTTCGTAAAGGCATGGAGTTGACATACCAGGTTAACACCACAAAGACACAGTGGAAATGTTTCTGACAGACATCAACGTTTATCTTTTGACCTGTTGGAGCCTAGCACCGGACAGATCTAGCTGCAATCACAAATCACAGAAGACAGTAAAAGATATGGTGTATTACTAATTTTGAAATGTTGAGGCAAAAAGAGAATCCCGCAAGACAGCCGAGAAAAGCCAACGACCAGCACATATCCTCTGCTGGAAAATGTAAATTCTTAAAATGCTGTCAAATTTTCTCTGCCAATATTGATCTTATTTACTGTAGCTGAAGCCACAAGTCATCTTTATCCTGATTTCTTCTATTTTGTAGAGAGAAATATTCTCCTCTGCTGATGCTTTGGCCATCGGCAGACATTGATAAACGAACTATTAGTGTTATTAAGATGAAAATGAAATTTAACTTTTTCGTCAAATGATACATCTCCTAAATAAAAGCCAGTCGTGTTCAACTAGTTACCCGCGCGGCTTCATCACGACAACCAAAAGTTAGGGGTTACACAGCCATGTATTGCCGTCGAGCACCATTATAGACGTGACTAATTGACTACTGTCTCCGTGTTACTACTTTTTTTCCTGGTAAGTGTTTTACGGCGCTCACAACTACATAAGGTCATATGAGCGGGGGGACACATTAAACTTTTTCAGTTGGTTGGAAACGTTGAATTTTGCCCGGGTGATATCGATTTTAGACCACCAAGGGATCTTTAACGTGCGCAAATTGCACAAGAGACCTCCAAGATTTTTCGCCCTTGTCCGAGAAGGCTAGGTGTAAATCTTTCCTACCAGAAGGTCAGGGGTGTGCCTGAAAGACAGCAGTAAGAAGGAGCCAAGGAGTAGCAGTAGAAAGGCTGCAGAGAGAGTCGGGAGTCCAGAGGAGGAGGTAAAGGGGGTAAGGGGGTGAGGGCAGGAAGAAGAGACAAAGCAGACGACAGAACATTGCTAGAGAGCTGGAAAAGTGGTGAAAGGAGACAATTTCAGAGAAGAAATGTTTTTTGTTTGTTTTTTTCTGTCGCTACATTGATTCGAACCTGTGACCTTTGAATGAGAGGCCAACATCTTAACCTCTAGGCCACAAGAGCCCCCTACTATATCTTTGAAACATAGTATCTACCAGATTAGTCACAGAATGTATGTTCCCTGTTCTGTAATATCAGAAATGTTTAGTTTACAAGCATGAAATCTTGTACATATATACGGAAACACACTTGCCATTCGACATAACAAACATTGATCGAAATTCACGTTTCCATCTGATGTAACCAGGAGTCAAACGAAGCATCCATGGCCACTTCAGCGAGAGTTCTAAGCTCAGCGTTTGTTTCGAGAACAGTTCCTTCGTTCATCTTCAAATCGTTGCCCCTTAGTACTTCTTTAATTTGGGGATTTTTAGAAGACTCATAGCAGGTAATGAAACGTGAGTGTATTCGGGGGACCCACAACCGAAAAGACAATCAGCAGAATGGAGAAAGCTCGACGCATGCAAGGTGCTTTCAAAATGATGCATATTGTGTTTTTGGATCACAAAGGTGAGGTATGGAACCGGTAGGTTCCTGTTGGCACAACAGTTAATGGTGGCTATTGCAAGAAGGCACTTTAAACAAACCTAAAATCACCAATCAGAAGAAAGCCGCCGGTTCAGTTGGGCGACTTAAAATCTCAATTCAAAATGGTTGAGAAAAATGAATTGGACAAAACGAGGGGAAAACGGTGTTCTGAAATGCTATGTTTGGTCAACCCTTCTATATAGCTGTGAATGCTGGACAATCACTAAAGACAGTGAAAATAAAAAAGAAGCAACAGAAATCTGGTTTCTTAGGAGACTGCTAAGAGTATCGGGGAAGGAAAAGAAATCAAATGAAGTAGTGCTTGATGAAGCCCACGTGGGACGCTCAATGTTAAAAACAATCAGGAAACGACAAATGCAGTTTTTGGAACACATAAATAGACATAAGGGTCTTGAACACCAAGCTCTCACTGGCAAAATTGAGGGCAAGCGAGACAGCGGAAGGCCCAGAACAACATACTTGGGTAACCTAAACAAATGGGTAACAGGGAAAGATCAGGAAAACGTAGCTTTTTTGAGAGCATCCGAGCAAAGGAATGTATGGAGAACCATGATCGCCGATGTCTATCGCAGAACTGGCACTGGAAGATGATGAGGGTACCCACTTAATTGTCGCATCCCCAACTCGCGCTTGACATAATATCATAGTGAGCCGAGCCAAAGTAAAAACAATAAAATGGGGTTGATTTTGGTTACTTCCCCCTAGCACACTCACGTTCATCCCGACGTCCTCCATCACATAAGCACTATACTGGTCTACAATGCACTGTGCCTTGTCTTTGAACTTCTGGATAGCGGAGTCGCTCCACCACTGCTTCAAGTGTCCGGTCTTGTCGAACTGTCTACCTGAGAAAAGAATTGAGGACTCACTGAAATTGCCTCCCTGCTGCAATCCTACTTAAATTGATAAGATGAATATTTAGAGACATTTTCTTCGGGTCGTATCACAACGGTTGATGTCACTCTAGTATTGTATTTTTAAGCGCTCAGAGCCTGTTTACTTTAATCGGGGTTGAGCACTATATAAATGTCATTTCTTTAAAAATAGTTTTAATAGAGGTTTTACCGCGCTCGCAACTGCATAAGGTCATAGAAGCGCCAAGGGGTGGATGTCAACAAAGAAGTCCATACAGGGAATCAGGCTTACTCTGTTCACCTCTCTAGCTTCAATAACACAAAGTCTGCTTCGATTATCAAGGCACCCCGGAAATAGCAGGACACAATAGTGTGACAAGCATACAAACGAAGCAGGGGAAAAAATGACGATAGGAAGGATTAGGACAGAAAAAGCAGCTGTTCTCTGTTGCAGTTTAGGCACAGTTATGAGCATGACATTGTTGAATTAGCCCATTTACAGCTCTACTGTGCATCAGAACAAGTTAATGTCCCCCCCTTTGGGAATGGCCTAAAGACACTTCAGTCAGTGGCACCGC